GCAAAACTCGAGTTTAACCGGTTCAGGATTCAAACAGGGCCAAACTGAGTTTGGACGAACAGGATAACATCCCTAATATAATCTATTACAATCTTTTTTTTGTACCGTACCTAAAAATATATACATAACTTTGAGTACGGCACACTTTTTTTTTATATTGCCTAACTTTTTTTCATACCATACCCAAATTGTCAATACTAGATTTGGGTGGTAAAGTGTTTTTTTATTAAGTATATATATTTTTTTTGCGTACCTAACACAAAAAAAAAAAAAAGCTTGGTACGGTAATTATTGTTTTTTTTGTGTACACTGCTCGAAAAATTTATCTGGGTACGGTCACTTTCTATACCATACCTACCAGACACTTTTTTCTGTACCGTACCGGAAAGGTATATACTCCAAAGTAATCTTGCAAGTAATAATATCCAACGAATTAATCCGTTATCAATAATGCTAATACTTTCTTATATCATATCTCACTATGGATGGTAAAGTAATTTAGCAGGTAATAGTGACTTATTACTTACTATTAATCAAGTAGTATTAAGTATTTATTACATTCTAATACTTGTTATGTGTAAATTTATCATATGAGAATGGTCGGAAGCGAGCGATCAAAAATAGAATTATCATTTCTTATTATTATCTATCGTAAAAGAATATAGGAATAATCTGAAGTAATATTAGGTAAGAAAGCGTATTAATTTGCCTACCCAATAGGTTAAGGAATTGAATTATTTCGAAATTTTAATTCCTTAGCAGATCTGTTTGCACACTTTATTTCTTGCCGATTATGCTTACTTTATCCCACTAATTATGTCCATTAAATTCTTGCCATTTCAGGTCCATTTTCGTAGAACAATAAAAACATATTTAAAAAAACTATGCACATGATTTGTTCGCGCAGTTCATGCGTCTACATCAGATAATCAGATCAATAATTTAGGCTAGTAACAATTTGGTAAAAATTTAATAATGCTACGATTTCTTGTAATCTTTAATAAGAAAAGTTTCGTTCTATAAAAGCTATTATTAATTAATTAGAGTTAAGTATTCTGCATCATAATATTAGTCATAGGACAAATCCTAAACTATATTAGACAGACTATGCACTAATCAGTTCGTAATTTATTTAACTCGAATTCATTATTATTACTATAGTATTACGCGCAACATTACGATTAGTCATTGTTGAGCGTAATCGAACATATTCAACTGATACAAAGCGATTAATATAAAATCTCATGATTTTACTTCAGGCTATATACGTTGATATTTGAACTAAATACTTAAAAAATTTCCCTACACATATAAATATTCTTTTAAAACGATTTACGCTACACCATCAATTCTGCCAACTTATCTTTGGTATCTTGCATATTTCTCTTCCGAATCGTAAATGATTTTCCATATTAGTAATAATGGCATCTCCAATTGAAATATTCTTCGTAGAGGTAGAAACATTAATTGAATTTCAGTTAGTTCACGGACAAATTCGAGAACAAGAAATTAAACTAAAATTTGTTGAAGGAAAAGCCTTAATAGATAAATTAGAAGAGGAAGATGAGGAACAACATGGATATTATAAATATTGATATCATTCAACTTATGCAAGTTATTTAAAAACGATTAACAAGATAGACGAAGCCGCCAAACAGGAAAAGTTATTATAAAAATATAAAAAATTCGAACCAAAGAGAGAAAATATCGATAAAAATGAATCCTTATTGTATATAAACGCTGAATCAGATAATCAATCTTCCAATTCAAGCAAAAGCTTGTTAGAGGAATCCGTAAGAGAGAAACTAATAAAAGCACAAGAGATTTTAGGCGAGACGGTTGTTGAGCCTATTAGAAAAGCCTTTGAAAATTTACATGAAACACCAAAGACCTTTGAAGGTTACCGGAAACTTGTTAATTGTGAGAATTCTTTGCTCGAGTCATTAGATGTTCTAATTGATGAAGAATTAGTTATTTTGGATCAACTTAATAATGAAGATAATGGTCAGTCAAATCAATCAGAGATTAAGCAAAAGATGGAGAAAGTGCATGATCGTTTAATAGTTTTAAAAGATTTAAGAGAATTTGCAAATCATCTCACTAGCCAAATAGTTTATTCAAAAAGATTAAATTTTATATACAATACCTTAAATTCACCTGATAAGAAAGCCATACTATTCAACAATATCTTGTTTACAGAAGGGGGAATCAACAAACGCTATAGAGAACTTGCATCTTTTTTCCATCCTGATAGAACGAAATATATCAATGCTCCAAATGGACTTCATGGCAACGATCAATATCTCGGTGCAGAGCTCTTTAGAATTATTCTAGAAATTAAAGAAGGCTTATTGAACGATTTGAAAAAAGCTTCAGAAAGCAAAGGTGTGCTTAATTTCCATGAAACGAATGCAAATGAGAATTTTACTATTGCGAATGATTATCGTAACGCCTATAGAAATAATGGAAATAAATTAAAGATTTTAAATAGAGAAGATATTAATGAAATTCCTAATACAGAACTAAGACATATAAGCGTATCATATGGATTATTAGCTTATGGGGAATATCGAGCTGCTTGTAAAGTTGCAGATACAACCGGTGAATTAAAAAAGCAAATAAATTTACGAAAAAGTATGGCATTATGTTTATACATTTCCGACCGTTTATTAGAAGCGCAATTATACGCTTTATCAGCGATTAGGTTAATTTATCAACATTCTCAGCATGTCTCTCAGAAGGAATTGGTCGATGCCAAAAAAGTATACGATAAAGTTAGAGGGGAAACATCTCAATTAAATACGGACATTAAGTTGAAGGACGATTTAAGTAATTCACAGGCTTTGGTTAAAGTGGTGAATGAAGGTATGTCCTTTTTAGAGAAATACGATATTCTAAATTCAGTTGACAACGATTTAAGAAAGATATCAGCCGAATTAATGTTCAAGCCAGATCGTCGAATTGTTAGTTATCAAGCCTCTCAAGAAAATATTTTGCACTCCAAAAAACAATCTGCCAAGTATAAAATAGCTGGTGCTGTATCATTAATGGTGGCAGTGACGACAACTACAGCGTTAGTAGTTGCCGGAGTTGCATCTTCTATATATGCACCCATAATAAGCTTTTTATGGCTAGCACCTCTAGTATCGTTATGGTACAGTTTAAGCCCGTGGAAACAAGGTACAATGCTTTTAGATGAACCAAAAATCCGTGAAAAGCTCAATGAAATTATAAAAAGTGCATTAGATGCTTATGATGAAGGAAATTATCAGCGATTTTTCGACACGCTTTGTAAGGAATACAAAAAAGGCACCAGTCTCATAAAAAAAAAATCAAAAGAATCTAGGATAATTATTCCTGAAGACATGGTAGATTCCCTCTTGGGCCATGGTTTTAGATCAGATGGAATCGCTTATTTGTTAAATCTGATAGGTGAGGTGCTAAGCAGCAACAAAATAAAAACCATAGATAACGGTATAACATCAGATGAATTAAGAGTTACGGGAATAGATGCTTTTAGGAGGGTATTAAACAACGAAAAGCTTGTGGAAGAAGCTAAAGCATTGGATGGCCGTATTTATGCATTAATAGAAGATAATTTGAAAAGCATGGCTAAGAGTATCTTTTATAATATCATAGATTTTTTGCGTCTTAAACCATATAGTGAATTAGCAAAAGAATATAAAGACGATGCTCGAAAAATGTCTTTTCGGTCAAGATTGGAGGAAATGCGTAATATCGCGAGACTTAACCTCATAATTTTTGATATAATCAGTAATGACAAGGAAGCAGCTATGAGAATTAGCAATACAATTAAGGAAATTAGAAAATCAATAAGCGATAATTATCAATTCTCTAGTACAACCGAATCACGCCTCGAAGCCTTGGAAGATTTTTTGTGGGTGTTGAGGGGTGATGTGCCTAAATCTTCCTTAATTTACTCTATAGAACCAGCTAAAAAACAATCCAATGAAGAATATGACGGGAAATATGATAAAAAATATATGGAATATCTGAAAGACAAACTACAAAGGGTATCAGACAATAATGAAAGAGTATTCCTTCATAATAAACTAGCTGATCACTTTGTGAAGTTGATTGAAGAAGACAAAGTCAACTTATTAAGCAGTTTACGTTATTGGCATAATGCTAAAGAACACTATGGGAAAGTACTTGAAATGAACCCCAGTAACCTATCTGTGACTCTTAATTTTGCAAAATGCTTACTAAATTTATCACAGTATAATCGTCTTATAAAGCTTCTTGATACAAATCCAAATTTAACATCATCTGCTGAATATTGGAGACTATGCAGTATCGCTTCTTATAAAGAAACAAATTACGACGAGGCTATGGAATTTATTATTGAGGCATTGAAATTAGATCCTCAAAACATCGCCGTTATGAAACAGAAGAGGCTCCTTGATAGAATAAAGGAGTATACTGTTGAAAATCGTGTTAATCGTCACAATAAAAAAATATATGATGTAGATGATTCACTTAAGATTTTACATAGATATAATGAAGATAATTCTGTTTATAGAATTCTCTCGATTGATGGAGGAGGTGTGCGTAGTATATTACCTGCTTTATGGCTCAGTGAACTAGAATATCGTACCCATAAACCCATTTCTCAACTATTTAATATGGTAGCTGGAACTTCTACAGGTGGATTTATTGGTGCTGGGCTTTCAATGCCGTGTAGGGAGTTATCAAGTTTAAAGCCACTTTTTTCAGCTACTGATCTGTTGGAGTTTTATCAGAACCAAGCGAAATCTATATTCACCACCAGTTCTTCGTGGAATTTCTTTACAGCAACGAAATATACAGATGAGGGACGTTCTTCTATATTTGGCAAATATTTTGAAAAAATCCAGCTTAATCAAGCGCTCACCAATTTGGTTATTCCTGCAGTAAAAGTAAACAAAGATAACATGCAGTCGCATTTGTTCACATGTAATAGCTCAGATGATACACTTTATGATATTTTAATGGCCACAACTGCTGCACCTACTTTCTTTCCATCCTACGAAATAAAAAATAGGGGCATTTTTGTAGATGGAGGTGTAAAATTTAACAATCCCGCATTGAAAGCATATAATGAAGTTTTTGAAAATGGCGATACTAGAAAAATTACAGTGCTTTCTTTGGGTACTGGTAGTTATATACCAGATCCTTTGCGTCCAGATTTTTATCGTAGCCAACTTTTTTGGAAAAAAGATTTATATTACGATGAATGCTACGTTGATAATTTAATGTACTCTATGTTAGGAAATTGTTATCAACGATGGCAGGTTTTGTTAGGCAAACCAGTAGCATTAGATGATTTCAATAGTATTTCTTATCTTTTAGAACTAGGGCATCAATACATAGAAGAACTCGATTCGTCAGATGAAAATTCTTTAAACGTATTAGTAGAGTCTTTTGAAAGTGGCTAATATTTTTAATAATTTTATAGGACATTCCCATAAATCAAACATCACTTAGTTTATTATACTTTTTTTTTTTTTTTGCTATACTATAAGTAAAGAACAAATGTATTTTGAGAAAGCTTAGATGTAGTATTTGTAGTTTTTCTTGTTAAAGTTGAATTGTTTGCTAAAGTTATTGCTGTCAATTTGAAACACGAAATTCCTATCCTTATTCAAAACTTAAATCTTGACAAAATTAACATTTAAGTTTCATTTATAAAAATTTATTTCTGATAGTGCCATATTAACAAGTTTAGTTCAAACAATATGTAGAATAAATGAGTTGTAGGGACCTGTGGATTTTGTGATATAATTTAACAAATTATGTTTTCGATATCAGCAAATTATTTGATTTACTGCTGATTAACAATAAAAGTCTGAATTTGTATAAAATTTAAAAATCTATCTAATAAAAAACTTACAAATTTGAAAAAAAAATGTTGCACTAAAAAAAAATTTGGTTTTTTTGCGCAAATATATAGCCCATGATATTTTTATTTCTTTGAACTATTGAAATATAAAATATTTATTATATTTGCTAATAATTTCATCGTGTATGCTTGAAAAGTGCATTTTCTATAATCGAAGCAAATCGCAGTAAATCACATAATTTTTGTGATTTGCTTCGATCACAGCGAATCACAAAATCCACAGATCCCTGATGAGTTGTAGAATAAACTTCCAGCTCTCTGAATAAACTATGTTACTATTTTGTAAGTGTCTTATATATATTTGTCCACCTTCTATATTTGTCAAAATTAAGGTGGTGTTTCTACCATGTTTACAGAAATTCTGTCATATTAGCAACTAGTTAAATGGTGACGTTTTATAGCCTGGAATAGAGACTGGACTCGTATAAACTCGTAACTCGCGAATTAAACTCAGAAGAGTTTTCGAATTATTCGTTTCAATTACTTACTCGAGTTTTGTTCGAGTAATTCGAGTCACAGTAATTAATTTATTAGTAAATTTATAAATTGCATTACTTTAAATAGCGAGTTACACGAAGCAAATATAATTCAATTTTATAAAGCAAGTATAATGAATTTATGTTTTTAAGCAAATATATACGATCCCAAACGAAACTTGGAGTTCTACCTTTGGTAGTTGTGCTTTGACTATTTGCTTTATTACAGGATTCTTCATGTTCACTATTGCTCAATGTTTGTATTATGAAATTGTTTTTAAAAGTCTTAATTTTTTTTCTTTTTAAAATATTTGCGATTGCAATAAATTACATTTATTTTTATTGAAAATTTGCGATTGCAATGAATTACGTACATAGTTCATTTAATTTTAAGAATTACGCTAAAATTACGACATTACTTATGCAGCTTACAAAATTTATCAATGCAAGGCATTATACATTAATAATTAACTCGAGTACTCGCGAGTTAAAAATTTTATGATTCGGACTCGAATTATTCGAGTCACGAGTTGACAAGTCCAGTCTCTAGCCTGGAACATTAATTACACCTCAAATTTTAGAATATCTTTATTCAAGCGAAACATAATTCATATTTAATAAACTAAATATTGTACAATTTTTGACGTAATGTTTAATCTATATACACCATCTGTCCAAATTTTATAACTATTTTAGGATTATACTAGAATATGTAATTATTTGGAGCAATAGAAAATAATTTTCAATAACAAAATTGTCTTATTTTTATTTGACTTTGCCTAAAATATAGCAACACGATGATTTATTGTATTTGGAGATTACATACCAGTAAAGTAACCTGATATTTTCATTAATTGTTTAATGATCAAATTTGACAAATTTAGTCAATAAAAACCAGTGAAGTTAGATTTTTCATTAAAGACTATAACAAAGCTTTAAATATTAGTTACTATATTTTTACTTCTTTATATGTTTAAAATGATACTTTTTTCTAAGTTCGTACATATTTTGTGCCTATTTTGACAATACTACAATTTTTTATATTTATAATCTGGAATTGAACATTCAGGACTATTTAATAATTAGAATAGCAGGTGGTGTGATAACAAGACTCTACTAATTATTAATAATTTGATAATGTTTTTATTTAGTAAATCATATTTAGCGGAAATACACCTGAAAAACCTCTCAAACTCCCCTAAGTTTTTCCCTTTTTTCTTTATGAAATTTAAAAAATAAAAGTCGATTTGCCAATTTTTATATTGTTCTCGACTTCATTTCAATATTTATAATTTTTTATCACTTTTACTAAATACTAGAAATCGAATTTTCATTGAACTATTCCAAAATCACCTCCAAAAATTCTGCACAACCAATGATATTGCAAGAACAGATTTAATATAATTTAAGAAAAAAAATTCAAAGTTTTCAAAAATTGCAAGTACTTCGAAATTTTGCCATAAAATTAACTTTTATGTTCTAATTAAAAGTGCCCTGCAAAATTTTAGACTTCTTAAATTTTAAATCCAATTATAAAATGTGGTATTGTTACTTTAAATATTGCGCACGTTATTTAAAAATACTGAGTTTTTGATCTTAATTGCACCAGATGTTAGAATCTGATTGGCTGTTGCACAGAATTTTTGGTGTTTTTAGATAGTTTCATCAGCAACATCCAAAATTGTGTCAAGCACATCTTCCATGTTATCGAGAGGCATTAAAACAAACAGTTTAAAGATACGTATTAGTTATAGAGAAAGTCAGCCAAAATACGTCATCCAAATTACAATTTTTTCCGGGATTTACTACGAACCTTAGCAGAATTAAAATGCTGTGTTACCTATTGCTTATTACGTACATACATATAAAAGACAATACATATTGCTTTCGTCCAAGATAAGATACGTACGTACGTACAAACAAAAGTCATGGCAAACATACCAGGAGAATGGCTTGAAAAAGCTATTTCCGAAGGGCATATAAATAACCTTGATTATAATCAATTTACGGACCCCATAGTGATTGGTATCGGAGCTTTTGGAAAGGTCTTTAAATACGAGTGGAAAAATTGTAAATTAACGGTTGCTCTTAAATGTCTTAAATTCGATAATGATTTAAGTTTAAATGAAAAAATTATTAAAGATTTTATTAATGAGGTATTTATTACCGTATATTTAAATTTAAAATTACTTCTGGGATGACACTAAATTTCTAAAACCATGTAACAAAGCTTAAGCTATTGCAAAGAGTTGATTGTCACCCAACTATTATTCAATTCTTTGGAGTTGCAAAAGGTACACATATTAATTATTATTTATAAGTAATAAATATTTAATTTGTAGCTAATATAATGATAAATAACAGATAATAATGGATATTATAATATGGTATTACAATATGCTAATGACGGAAATTTACGAGAATACCTAAAAGCAAATTTTACGGAATTAGAATGGACAGATAAATTGCGAATTTCAGAAGAAATAACGCATGGTCTTTTGTTCTTACACAATAATAATATCATTCATAGAGATCTTGTAAGTATATTATTTATATTACTTGTTTATGAATTTTGTTTACAAATGATTAATGTTCTGATATTTTTCGTAGCATTCGAAAAATATCTTAATTCATCAAAGGCAAGCAAAGATTGCAGATTTTGGACTATCAAAACAAATAAATGAGACTTCTGAGGCTTCAACCTCAATTGTTCATGGAATGCCAGCATATGTCGAGCCCCTGTGTCTTTTTAAGCAAGGATATCAACGTGTATAAAGATCTGATGTCTATAGCATTGGAGTAATCCTTTGGGAAATTTCGAGTGGAAAGCCTCCATTCTATAACTTTATAAACGAAATGATTGCTGTTTACATCTTTCAAGGGAAAAAAGAAGAGCCTATAGAAGGTACACCATCCAAATATGTTGAACTTTACAAGCAATGCTGGGACAACGATCCTGTCAATCGCCCAGAAACAAGAACAATTCACAATACTTTAAAACAACTTGTTCCTAACGAAACTTTGAATCAATATCACTCCATTGAAGCATCATCTCAAGATAGCGAAATTTCCTCAAGTAGTCAAGACAATATAAGTACTCCCGTCAATTCACATGGATTTATGACATCGTCTCCTCTTGATTTAACTGATAAGATATATTCAAATATTTCAACGCAAGACAATAGTATTCTTAAAAATAAGAGAAATGAAGCAGACGAATATTTTAAGCAAGGCAAATTTCAAGATAATCATAGTATATCTACAGAATGGACCGCATGCGTTACTCAAGATCGAGTTCACTAAGCATTTGCAATGAAGGAAATAATACTCAACATTACGAGGAACAAATTAATTCATTACAACATAATTCAAAATCAGATAAAGAAAATCAACATCCAACTTCACATGCCTATAGGCGTGAAAAAAATAGATACAAGAAATGTAACAAATGTAATTATACAAAATTTCATTATTATGAAAATTCCAACCAATGTAAAGATTGCTATAGGGCTTCAATGCGAATCTTAAGTGGTAATAAATTAATAGACGATTTTATTGAATCAACGCAAACATTTTATAGAAACTGTAGAAATATATCAAAGTTAGAATTTATTCCATATAGACAATTTACCAATATTGAATACCTTGGTAAAGGAGGGTTTAGCGTAATATATAAAGCAACATGGGTTGAAGGACCTATTACTCGTTGGAATCCTAAGCAACGAAGATATAATCGAAAAGGAAATTATGATGTTGTTCTTAAATATTTGAGGAATTCTGAAAAGGAAGTATCCGATTGTTTAAATGAGGTATATATCAAATTTATATACATGGCAAACCTATATTCACAATACATAAGTTAATTAAAAAACTTTTCTTTTTTAGTTAAAAAATTTTTTTAATTGTATAAAATCAACAAAATCTTATAGTTCCACTTCCAATATTCATCAATATTTCGGCATTACACAACATCCTGAAACAAAAGATTATATAATGGTTACAAAATTTGCGCGGAATAAAGACTTACATTATTTTATAAGCAAAAGTGTAACTTTATCTTGGTTTGAAAAATTAAAAATATTAAATGAAATAGCAAATGGCCTTGACATATTACATAGACATAAACTTATTCATCGTGATCTTCATAGTGGCAATATTCTGATTGACGAGACAGGTAAACCAACAATTGCAGATTTAGGGTTGTGCATGCCAATGGATACATTATCAGATAATAATGCAATCTATAGGGCTATTCCGTATATTGCACCAGAGATATTTGAAGGAGAAAAGTGTACAACAGCTTCAGACATTTACAGTTTTGGTATGATTGTATGAGAGGTAATAATTGGCTGTAGACCATTTCACGATCGTGGACATGATGAATATCTTATTTTGGATATTCTCAATGGTCTTCGCCCAAATATTCCATCTAATATTCCAATTAATTTAGTTAAATTGATGAAAAAATGTTGGGATTCAAATCCAGCAAGAAGACCATCATCTGATTGGATTTGCCAATATTTGAATTTGTTTCCCGAATTTATTCGTATCACAGAAATAGATGATTTAAAAATTTCAGAGTTTTCAGAGAATAGACCTAAAATAAATGATCAAGCAATTTATTCTAGCCGAATATTAAACCAATTAATTAGTAAAGCCATTAAATATAGAAACATAGGAGAATTTAATATCAATAAATTGTAATTACAGATAAGAAAATGCGAATAGGAGTTTATATAAAACATATAAACAATAGTACTAATCACAACAGCGGTATTCAACGCCACACATATCTTTTAATAATTTGCCAATAAAATTTAGAGTAAGAGGTCCTATGTCAAAGTAAAGTTAAGGGTTTAAATTAGAGAAAGGGTAGAGCAGGGAAAAAAGTCCGTAAATTTTATATGCTTTGCGCAAGCATATCTGTATATTTTTTTGTACGCAAATTTTACGCGCAGAGTGCACATCGCACTTTGTTTACTGGGGTAAAGTTTTTGGGAGCGTTAAACATTTTTTCCTAGAGCATTAGATATCAATTACTTAGCTATTTTCTATGTAAAGTGACTTAGTAAAATCAAATAAATAATGAAAGAATAATCTTTAAAATAAGTACATTCAATTCACTTGATATCCGCTGAATGTTGATGATTTTCTACTATACAATGAATTTGGATGCTTACGTATAATATTTGTAATTTTATCACCATCTAGGAATTTCTTCCTTAAATAATTCCCGAAGATGATAAAGCTTTACTCTACATGTAATATAAGTGCAGTAGGTCGTTTTTGTGTATCTGACAATCTGTCCCAAGTGCAAATTCTGATCGCAATCTTAGATGTGAGTTCTATATTGAAATCATATCCATCAAACGTCTTTGTCCATAAACAATAGCCACTAGCATAAATTTTTTATCTTCAGGCATAACATAAGGCAGAACTCCATAAACTTCTCTACTTTTATTATGTTCTTCTATTTTAGAGAATTCAAAACCTACAATAGGGATTTCAGAGTTAACTTAATTTGAAAATAAGTGGAAGTTTGAAAGCTTCAATTTATGGTTTGAAATTTCGAAATCAGAAAATGAAATAAGATAAATCAGAAATCTGATTTCACCCCCTAATATAAGAAAGTACGACTTTGCCAATTTTTATTTGCAAAATACTGTATTCTGCTATGAAAATTGCTATTAGATACATTACAACAATTAATCTTTTTCGTAAATAAATTTTAAATAATCTACACATATAAAATTTTCAACCAAGTTCATTTGTAATCTTTTTGTTATAGTTATATAATTAGTTTTTTCGTAACTTCGAGCAACCTCTATTCATTTAATATATATCTATCAAAAATAAAATAAAATTTTTTTAAAATTTGTAAAAATGGGCTGTTTTAATTTAAGACATTCCATATATCATTGATTGATTTTATTATGAGAAACAATTCTAATTTCTCTGAAAATTGAAGTGCAAACGTAGACAATTCTTTACAAGATCTTACACCATTATAACTAAGTTTAAAAATATTAAAAATATTTAATACGTATTTTATTGTAATAAAGTTTCTATACAAATTTGCATCAAACAACCCAATTTTTATTGTTTAACACTATTACTTATTGGCATAATTTCAATTCAGCATATAAAAAAAATTTTTATTGGTAAAAAAACACAGAACCAATCCCAAAAAAATATGTTAGTAAATTTATTAAAGTGCTGAAATTGACTAGCTTGGATAGCTTTGCTATTCAATTTCAAGCTAAAGCTAGTAGCAACGTCCAATACGATCTGTAAGGTATAAAAACCCCTATCGATTAAAGAATAAGAAAGATCATAATAAATAAATACCATTTAACAATAACCTAAGAATCCTAATGCAGTAGAATCCTGATTCTCAGACTAAATCTTTCACGTAGCCTACATTTTTAGGTTGTGTTTAACCATGACCCAATCATCCAAGATAGGGATGGATCAGTCAGTCCCGGTCAGTCTCAGTCCCTATAAGACCGATTTTATAATGTTTATTAGCCGGTCGGTCCGTCTTTTCGGTCCTAAAAATCGGTCTCACGACTTTTAATTTTTCAATGTATAACATTAAAACTTTTATTTATTAGCGGCCAAATTTTTAAAATTTATATTATAAAAAATACAGTACATAAAGTTTATATTATAAAAAATACAATACATATTAAATTTATATTTAAAAAAAATACAGCAAGAAGCTAATTTACAGTATATAAAAAATTGAACACAGGAATGTTTAATTATCCAATTTGCAAATTCCTTTTTGAAGCCAACTCTTTAACCATAGAATCGCTCTTCTTCTAATCTAGCTCTTGTATTTTTTTTATTTTTTTTTGGTCAACAATTTTATTAAGGTTCGAAACATCAACATTTATTTCATTAGAAATTGGAACTTCGGCGTTTATTTTATCACATTGAGAGATGGAAGCAAGAAATTTCTGTTATCGTTCATCGTTAGAAAGGAGTTTTATTATTTATTATTATTATTATATGTGTTGTTTTTCTTTATCTGCTTTTTTATCAGTATTAGTCACCATTAGACCATAATCAGAACCAGGACCGGACGATTCCAGACTGAGGACTGAGAATTATTCGGTCCTCAGTCTTTTACCGTCCGGTCCCGGTCTTTACAAAGACCGATCCATCCCTAATCCAAGATCTGCCTTTACAAATATCTACATATGACATTGTCGTAAAAGATCTTTTTATAAACAATTTTACAGTATTAAAGTTCAGAGAGCACATTATACTGCTTCTTATTGCATATCATTGCATATCTAACTTATTATTGATAACTGTATTTTTAATGAGAGAGGAAATACCTGGAACGGAGAAATACAATATGAAGCCACATGGATAGATTAACCAATCAGAAACAAAAGAGACACAGTATTTCATCTGTCTGTAAACTATACTCTACGTACTGTATCGCATGTTTGTAATCAGAGAATATTCTAGACTATTACAGTATGATAATCTTTTATCATTCAATTCTGCTTTAACATTTTTGATTGGTCATAACTGAAAATGTGACCTAATGTAGAAAACTTACAAAGTGATAGTATACGTAAAATTATTCGCATTAATATCGTCATGAATTGTTCATCAAATACGTAAAATCGAGATGACTCTTTGTTGTATGATTTTAAATCAAGTTTCACGTGTTATTTATGCTATGTTAGCTAGGATTTGAATAATAATGTTAATAAAATGCAGTAGTAACCCTGTATATCACGGAATTTAGAAATCACGATAATTCCAATACAAACTAATTATATACTACAATTGTTACCGAAATAGCAATTATTTTTTGCAATAGAAATTACAAACAACCTTAACCACTGTATTTTACATTAGTAAGCAAATTCTGTGACAGACTTCTTAACAATAGCTGTCAAAGAGTCAAGTAATTGCCGTAATGACTACTATTTACCCCAGATGGTTTATTCAATAAATTGGTCTTGCTTGGCACTTGAGACACGCACACCTACTTTAACAATGCATTTCAACACTAACAATACATATGTATTTGCTTTAGCTACTCATTTATTACTCAATTTCTAGTCAAAAAGACTGTTGAATTTCTTATTTACCTTTTTACTATTTATGTGATTCAACAATTACCTATCTTGTATTACATTTTAACTATTTCTTTGTTATTAATTAATTAAACTTTTCATTGTTTCCCAACTTAATCATCATATTCATGCACTTAATGATCATAGTACCCAGCATACCCGATCTTGCATGTGCCACCCACATCTTGATTTACTTATGATTTCAATCAATCACATGGTCACGTGAATCGATCAATTCATACTTTCATCTATCCTTCTTTCTTCTCAATTCACTAAACCTTTTGTCCTCAATTAGTATACCTTTCACTAGGTATAAAGGGTCTTCAGAAACTATGCAACAATAACTCAACAGATTTTAACTGTATACTGTGTTTTACTGGAATAGCAAGTAAGTTTTGTAATAGAATTTTTTATGGCAATTCATAATAATTCAATTCAAACTAACTTGACCTTAACCACATACTGTGAACACTGAAATAGCAAGTGTTCTGTAACAGGATGCTTTACAGCAATAATTCAATCTTAATTGCATACTATATATATTGAAATATCAAGTTGGATTGGAATTTTTTGCAGTAATATTAATACAAGTTAACTTAACTTTAACTACATGCTATGATTTTTGGATAGTAAGATCGTATAACAACTTTTTACATCAGATCATAGATAATCCCAATGTATATATTTGTCATCAAAATAGTAAGTTCTGTTTACAGTAACTCACAATAAAAATTATGATTAAAATATAAACTAACCCAACCTTAACTACACATCATATATTGCAGGTTTCATTACAATAACACAGTAGAAATTATACAACTTAACTACATACTGTATATCACTAGAATGAGTAAATTTTTTGCAAGAATTTTTTATGATAATTCACAATAGAAATTACAATAATTTTAATGCAAACTAACTTAACCTTACAACAATTCTAGCGCAAACTAACTTAGCCTTAATTATAATGCATTTATCAGAATTGAAAGTATATACACTAATTTTGATACAAAGCTAACTCAACCTTAATTACCGTAAACTGCCATATAAATGACCCGGGTCTGTTACATTTTACCCATTTTAAAACCTATTAATAGACCCCCGGGTCTCTTGTATGGGTACGGGTCTGATAACTGGAAAATTTATATATGGAAATTTATATAAAGGTTTTAGTTATATATTGCGTGTAAATATAACCTTTTAGTAGTAGAATAATTTTACAAACCACACATACCATATTTTTTGCCATAATTGTGTAATGCCAATGCCATAGTGCATTATGTACATGACATAACTCTCACAAGTCTTTATAAACACGATTTTAATTGAAGAATTTGTCGTAGCACAGTAAATGACAAACATAAAAAGCAAACAAACAGACGTTAGAGAGCTAAGGAGGAGTAGATTTGCAATGGTATATTTGTGTAAATTTAGACGAAAATATGATGAAATGGATCTTACAAATACATAGATTATCCAGATAAATTTATAAAAGAGGTGACTTTTTAATGCTTTTTACGGTATTAAATATTATAAAATTAAATATATAAATAAAAGTTTTTTTAGTATTGATGAATTTTTTTTAATTTATAAAAACTTGTAATCGATATTCATTTTCTAATCTTTAAATTAACAATTATTAAAATATTAAATAATAAAATATAATTCATATTTAAATTGTAATTTTGAAATAAATAAAAAGTATAACTTTATTATATAATTTTCTTTTTTATCTAATTTAATTTTTACTTACTATTCGCTATAACCCATTTACTTTAATTTACCTAATTTAATTTTCACTCACATTTTCCTATAATCTATTTACTTTAATTTATTGATCTTATTTAATATATCTAATTATTATAATGCTCTAACAAAAAAAAAAAAAATTATTACCGTACTTGTATTACAGTATTAAAAAAAGAATTAAACCTCTAAACCTTCATATCTATGACTATACAAATATGCACAACAGAATCCAAGTTTAGTCATAAGAATTATTACTCTCAACGAATTTCGATTACTATACAATACTTTTTTTTTATATTTATACTTCATACACCATCCTTATAGTAAATTAAATTCCCTCATATTATACAAGTTTTAAATTTCGGATCTCTTCACTTTGGTCTTGAAAGTGCATACGTCATCTCAAATGCAAGTTTCAATATATTAGCTGCTTGAGTAACTACTTCAAAAAAAAAACTTTCAAAAAAAAAAAAAGCTACGAACCTAGTTAACTATTAGCTATATACTATGCTATTACGATTATTAAGAAATATAGCACTAG